TGCCTTTGACTCATTGCCATGCCAACGGTGTTCTGCCCGATCCGCTCCGCCTTACCCGGTCAACTTTTTATTTTGATATAGTTTCACGCATCAAATTCGAATCACAATTTTTAAGCGAAATCCGAAATCGAACAAATCCGTAATCACAAATCAGAGAGAGAAAACTGCCAAAATGTGGGACGTGTGAGGCATTTTAATAGCTTGGAATCCATTCAGTTAGTGGGGCGGTCCAAAAGGTTCGGGGAAAGAGTTTCTGAGAAAGTTCCATTTCGATTTTAAATTAAAGCAATTTGATTTGGCCATGTAAATATTTTAATTTTTTATAAGAAACCATCAGTTTATATTTTGTTAGAGAATTGAGTACAGTCAAGAGCTTTTAAAAGCTTAACTTTCTTTTGCAAGATCTGCAAGAATATCCCACTTTATGTGTAACTCCTTCAAAATTCTGCTGATTGCAGATGATCTAGCCCCCTCTTCCTTTTTTTCCATAAAAGACAGTGCTTTTAATTTCTTATTTTTTATTGTTCGGTGTTGGCTTACAGTAGCAAATAGATAGGGATAAAAAAATACAGGAGACTCTAGACCTTAAAACTAGTTTAATAATTTAGTGGTATCCGTGGGAGGATGTGGCCGGTGGGCCGTAGCTGCTGGCGGGCGGCAAGTAGGTGGCCTCCGGCTCGAAGATGGGCGTGGCCGAGTCTCCGGAGTGACCGGGTGGTCCGTAGAGCTGCGCCGGAGCCGGGTAGTCGTAGCCCGGCGAGGAAGGAGCCTGTAGAAAAGGGGAGCTGGGCGTGGCGTAGTCATAGCCGGAGATGGAATTGGATCCAGACTCGTGCTTGGCCCCCAAGAATGCGCTGGGCTTGAAGGGCGCCTTCGAGAGATCGAGGTCGTGGCCTGATGCGCCCGAGTGGCCGGAGCTGAGGACGTCAGTGTGAAGAGCCTGTGGCTTGCTGGCTGTGTAGGTGAAGTGGCCCAATCCCTTGTGGCCCAGGGCATAAACCGGCGTCTCCCTCTCCTGCTCCCGGTCGGCTTTCTGCTCCTGCTCAAGGACCTGCACTTGCACTGGCTCCTGCAGTGACTCCTGATGATCGTAGCCGGGAATGAGGGGCACGCCATAGCTGCTTAAAGGAACTCCCTTGCCAAAGGGCGTGGCGGGAGCGTCGTAAGAGTAGCCGGAATGCTCTTCCGCCAGCTGAGGCAACGGGTGCTGGGCAAACTGTCCTACGGACGAGTGACCCAGTCCCAAAGCGTGACTCAGTCCGTGCTCCAAGGCATGCTCCAGGCTGTGATCTAAACTGTGGCTGGGTCCGTGGCTGGCTGACTCGTGACTGATCTGATGGCTAATAGCATGACCGAAGCCGCCGCCATAGCCGTGACTGGGTAGGTGGCCACTGTAGCTGGGTCTGTGAACTGGGCCCGATCCGTAACCAATTCCGTGACTATTTCCTCCGTGACTGCTGCCGGAGGAGTATTCGGGTGTAGCCACCACATAGGTGCTGGTCTTGTGGTTGTTACCCAGCAGATTCAGGTAGCCTCCAGCCGAGGATGGTGCATATTTATAGCCCAGTCCGGATCCGGATCCACGGGTGTGCCCCTGACTTATTCCGTGACCGATTCCATGACTGATTCCGTGACCTATTCCATGACTCTGACCGTGATAGTTGTGGCCGGAACTCGAAGATCCGCTTGTCTGAACGATATAGGTTTCGATTTTGGGACTTCCGCCGGTGCTATAATGGTGGGGTCTTCCGTGGCCATTGGAGCTGGCGTAAACGTGACTTCCGGCGTGGCTTCCGTAATGATTTCCGTAACTGCTCTCCCCCTTCAGGTGACTAGAGTAATCGGAATAACCACCGGAGCCCAAGGGACTTCCATGGTAGCTGCCAAAGTTCAGGTGGTTATCATAAGCGGGCGGCAGGTACTTGTGGGAGGGCCCGTGATAACTGGATATTCCGCCAAAACTCAAACCCGCATCCCTTTTTGGCTTGGATGAAGAAGCAGCGGGAGCGGGAACGGGAGCTGGAGCGGAAACGGATACGGATGCGGGCACTTGGGAAGAAGCAGCAGGCACCGAAGAAGAGCCAGCTGCCAGTAAGAAGAAGCAGCAGCTTAGCAAAGACCCAGCTAACGGTACTCCGGCGAGTTTCATGATCAAACACAACAAAAAATCACGGAAAAAAAATGGTTCAAAGGTTATCCTTGGGTCGTGTCGTTCGCGTTGGAACCGCTGTACAGGAAATGGAGCCGCGAGTCGAGTCGCTGCCGTTGGCGCTATGTTGGCGACCTCTGCGAATGGCGACCCTTTTATACTTTTTAAATGCCCGCCACTCCGAAATACTCGGATTTTTCCTTCTTCGTTTTTGGCCATTTTCGCTACTACTCTCTTTGACGCTCTCACGCACACGCACGCGAAAAGCAACGGTATTTGGTTTCGCTTTGTGAGCCGCCGACGTCGACGCCGACTGCGCTGCAACTTTTTACTCTTTCACTCTCGTTCGCCGCACAGTGGGGCGAAATCAAAGAGTAACAAACTAAAGCTCCAACTAAGTTCCAATAGAAGCAACCAGTTTTGTTGTTTTTAAAAGTAGAAATACCCATAATCGTAAAATTTAAAATAATAATTTTTACTGATTTAAGTTCCCAATAAGTATTCAAAATAGTACGCCACATCTGTATTTTGTTTAGTTCCATGCATATTTTGAGTGACTTCAAGTCCTTTAAGTGTATGTAAGCCTTCTATCCCATCCACTGTTCCAAATGTTCTCAAACTGTAACTGTAATCACGCTCTCTCATTCTCTCCAATTGCCAAAAAAGAAGCGTCATTTGTCATTCAGCAGATCAGCAGCGCGCTGCGCACATTAAATTGGGAACAAGCTCTGCCCGGAAAAGTGATAATAAGATTTTAATAAATAGTTTGTTGCTAAAGTTACGGTGAAAAGCGGTTTTCACAACTTGTTCGCTTTCCCCCCGCCTTTCTCCAACGAACAAGAGGAAGACCAAAGAAACCTTCGAAAAATAGCGGATCTCAACATTATTTCGCTTTCCCTGCAAAAAGGAAGGGATGAACGGAAAACGGTAAAAGTGCAACTATTTTGGACAGAACAGCAAAGCCAGCACAGAAAAAGTGAGTACACACCTTGTTAAAAACACCTTGATTTACATATTATATATTTATCAAAACGCAGACTACGCGAAATATAGTGTTAATATATTAATGTGACTATGTATACATACAACAAATGTAAAAATCATTAAGTTTACCAGTTTTTACCAATTTCCATTCACTGTGCGCATCTTGGGACTCGACAGCGCCACTCAAGTTCAAGTGACACTTTTTAATATCACATGTCTGCGACCACGCCCCTCGCCTTCCCATGTTGGCCCTGCCTTGTTAACGTTGTTTTTGTGTGTGTTTTCCAAAGTTACCGTTGCTTTGCTTTCCCCCTTCCCTTTCGCATGTCCCCAGTAATCACCTTAGCTTATGCGTAAATTGCATTTAATTCACAGCAGCACGCCCCTTTCCTCTTCTGCTTTGCCCCTCTATCCTCTTTTTGTACTCCCTCTGCTCCCTCTTTCTTCGCCCTGTAATTGTTGCTGTTTTCTCAGCTGCGCGAATTTTTTTTGTAATTCGAAAAGCGATTTGTTTTGCCACCGTTCGGGATCTTAATTTGGGTCTCTGCTATGGATGATGATGATTTGGCAATAGCTTGGAGTCGTGTGTTGGTGCCCCTTTGAACCACCTCCCCTACCCTCATCCCCTTGGTGCTGATGACCCATGGCTAACTAATGGACTTGGCCCGAAACCCAGGCGATGTATCTGCATGCTGACGACGTCCCTGAGCGGTGAATGATGTGCACCTCGCTGGCGTACTTTGCCCATGGCTTGGGTCATCTGGTAGTTAGCCGGCGATCCCAAGCGCACTTCTTTGCCAACAGTTGTATTAATACCGAGTATTTCTTGAAATGTAATTTTTAGGCGTTGATAAACACTCAAAAACCCAAGGATCTCAGGAGCCATTAGAGCTAGGGCTAGAAAATTTGGTATTCGGACTTGAAAAATTTTAAAATCATTGTTCATTTATAGATCTCATGAAAAACCTTTGTTTTGGTATGCATACTGAAGAGTATTATTATTTTTAAAGCCTGGGATGTACATATTTATCAATCTCTGAATCTCGTTTCTGTTGGCTAGTGACTGTTGGTACTTCTTCATCTTAATCTTCGACCGCCAAAGCGATTTGATTCCGCTCTTTGTCCGTTTCTTTTGCCAACAGTCGTGTGCCACCGTAGAGCTTTTAGTTGATGTAATTGCCTGGCACCCGCTTTGTCCCCCTCAGACGGTTGCGCAATCCGCCAGCCAAGGTCACACCTGCCACGTCGATCGAGTTATAATTTCGCAGATTTAAGACTTGTGCGAGACGAGACGAGACTGCCGTAATTGAGGCATTTGAAAGTGGCAACAAATTGCCAGAGATCCGAAAATCCAATCCGCCCATGGTAAAAGTCGACCGCCTTTTTAGACGCGGCCTCAAAGAGGGGGCGAGTCATCATCGCCGGCACTACATTGCCCAGGCCCAGACATGGACTTGAATTTGAATTTGGCATGGGAACTGAACCTGGGACTTGGATTTGGATTTGTACTTGTACATGGATTTTCACTGAGTCCCAGACCCCCAGACCCCGAGACCCCCAGAGAGTGAATGTGAGTGTAGACCCCTTTCCAATCGGTCAATAAGCTGAGGAAAATATAAATCGAGATCTGATTTTGTTAATTGGGTAATTGTGTTTATAATTGATGTATTTGTCATATTTAAGAAATATTTATTTATCTTAAGCGAGCTAAAATAATAATAATAATAATAATATCTTAACAATCCATTTATAACTTTACAAGATAATATGTGGATTTACTTTATTTTCTCATTTATAATCTATAGTATATAAATATTTTAAAGTGTAATTACCTCAGCTTGAAATTATAAAAAAAAAATTTCGGACTTAAGATTTAGTAGGTTAGATTTGTTGGTACTTGTACTTTACCTGACCTAAGTTCTTACGAGATTATAAGCATTACTAGGGGAGAAATATACATAGCCTAGTGGGCCACCTCCAAATCCTCCTGCACCTCTTGGCTGCTCCTGCACTGGCTTATAGGGATAGGCATGGAAGGGGGCTTCCTCCAGTTGCTGCTGCGGCTGTTGCTCCTGGACATGGTTTCCCTGCCCCTGGACCGTGTCACCATCCTCGTCATCCGTGTAGCCGGCGAAGGGGGATGGTCTGAAGGGCAGGCCAAAGTGTCCAGCCTGTGGAGGAGCGGCCAGGGGATGGGCCTGCAGCTGAGGAGTGAATAAACCCACCAGTACGGGCTGAAACGGCTGTTGGTACTGCTGTTGGTTTGGTGGCTGATATTGCTGCTGCTGCGGGATGGTAAATTGCTGCTTTTGTTGCTGCTGCTGCTGCTGTTGATCCTGAGGAGCTGCAGGGAACGTCTGGGGGCCCGTGTAACCAGGACTCAGTTGAGCAATCCCCTCCAGAGGCGGCAAAGGGCTAGCTGTGGGCAGGATCAGTGGACGCCAGGGCATCGAGTATAGCCATGAGGGATACATTTGAATCCCCTGCTGCTGCTGCTGCTGTGCGCTCATCAATGTCAACGAGCTGACCAGGATCAGGATATGCAGTTGAATAACCCTGAACATGCTGCCCAAGGTAAATGTCTTTCGCAAATGCTTGGAGTGGCCCTGACATCTCGGGCATATATATGAAAAAGGCCCAATGTCATTCGATATCTGTGGTTCCGCTGTAAGCGATATTTTCCACTTCCATCTCTTCATCTTGGTTGCGCAATCGGGCATCCAATTGCCCACCACCCCATTTGCCCAGCATCGAATCACGCCCAAGTTGATTAAAACTATAGTTTTGATTAAAACTCATTCTGATTAAATGATTTTTTGGCTTTGGCGCTTGCGAAAACGATGTTGCAATGTTGCAGGTTCGAAAATTGCCGCTGCTGACGTCGTCGTCTTTTGTGCGATCAACAACCCATGTAACTGAGCCGGGGACTTTTGGTCTTCGTCGCCCTTCGAACGCAACATTTTCCACTTGAGAAATTTCCCAGATTAACTGTCAGCTGCACGGTAAAATAATTCGTATGATATGTGTATGATTATTGCTTTAGTACCAGCAAAGTGAAATGTAAAATGCTCCTTTTTTTCTGTGTAATAATATTTTTCCTTCAAGAAAGCGGCACTTGTGCTGTGGCTTTAGATACAAGTGTGAATTTCATTACTTTTTGGATAATTTAATTACAACCCATTATGAGTCGATCAGCTTTTATAGTATTCTGTATAAAGATCACCCTTTAAATGCATTTCATCTTTTGCGAAATTCCTCGACTTCCGTAAAACAATTTGCCCACTGAAAATGAAAGTGACGCCGTATTACAATCGCGTATACCAGCTTGCCCTCAGAAATGGACAGTTGGTGTTGCTGCTGTCAGTTTTTGGCGTTGTTGCTGATCGCTTTCGCACGACGGCAACATTTCAATTTCGATGACTCGACTTGATTGAAACCGAAGCATGAACCTAACAAATAGTGTGCCAAAAAGAGAGCACTGATCGGATCGGATCGGCCTGTGAATGCAATATTTTCTTACTGCTGCTGGCTTCCTGCTGCAATGAAAGTTGCATTGTTGCTGCCGTTCAGCGATGTTGCTGTGGGTGTTTTTAAGGTGCGGTTTCTGTTTGTTTTACCTTCACTTGGTTGGCGGAAGCAGCGCGAGAACACCGAATCCGAGTCCGAATCCAAGTCGTCTCTAATTTGTTGGCGTCTAATTCGTCAGCAGCAACAAACATAAACAAGCAGCAACTCAAGTATGAGAAAATTACAAAATTCTCGTAATTATCTGCGAAAATCGTAATCAAATTAGCCACGCTCGCTTTTAGCCATCTACGAAGGTCGTGGCTGCTTCCCGTTTGGGATGATATCACTTGAGCGCCAGAAGCCCATTTAAATTGTTATAGATACAAAAAGTAACAATAGTAAGTATACTTTGAATTGTACATATGCCCATCATAAGAATACGAAATTCTCATAGGTATGTAATTTCATTCGTAGTTTAGTTCTTTGGGTGCTCAAATTTTCAAAGTCCGAATCTCTTAGTTAGAAAATAGTTATTCCCATATAAAACTACCAAAACGATATGTTAATCAATGCATGCTTTATTAAACAAAAAAAAAAAGATTGAAAATGTATTTTACTGTACAACTCCTACTAAATAGCTTTCATTTTCAGACCAAATGCTTTTCCTGAGAAAGGCGAGTGTTGAATAGGGTTTTTGAGAATAGGGTACAGGATCTTACGGAGGAGGATCCACCATGAAATGGAAATGGATTTAGTAGTAGGGTGGCTGGAAGTCCCGGATCCACCATGAAATGGAAATGGATTTAGTAGTAGGGTGGCTGGAAGTCCCGGCTGGGATGGGTCAAGCTATTTTTGGACGATTGAGAGGGCTGAGAGGAGTGCAGATGAGGTGGGGAGACGGCATAGGCACTAGCCGAGTACTGACGATTGCCGGAGACTAGTTGCTGAGATCCATGCTGCTGCTCCTTGTCTTGAGGCCATTCCCTGTGTGTGCTGTGGGTAGAGGGCAGCTGATACGAGTGGGACTGCATCTGCAGAAAGTCGGAGGAGGATCCACCAAGTGAACCTCCGTGGGAACCGCCAAGGGAACCCCCATGGGAACCACCGTAAGCTGAGGATCCACTCAGCTGCTGCTCATGCTGTCGCTGGCCCAAAGAGGAAGGTCCTGAGGGCGAGGAAAAAAGCTGCTTCCGGTAGGCATCTGGCAGAGATTGGGTCAGCAGTCGCGTGTCCTGAGCATCCAATCCAATGAACCGATCGTGCTCGAAATCGCTGGAAAGCGTATAACTTGGCACTAGCTTCACATCTCGTCCGGGAGCAGTGATCGTCTTGTGGCTATTGGCAATGGCCTCAGCCGAAGGGAGTTTCTCGAGGTCCAGTTCACGGATGGGTTGCCAAAGGTCACCACGCAGAGGCAGCTGTTGTTGCCCATAGCGATTGTGCTGCTGCTGCTGGTGTTGCTGTTGATTGAATTGTTGGTGTTGCTGCTGCTGGTAGCCATGACCCTGTGAAGATTGCCAGGACTCGGCTTCCTGGCGTTCATATTGCTCGGGCTGCTGCCCTTGAATTGAGTTCCAGGACTCCTTTCGCTGCTGCTGATGTTGCTGGTGACCCAGACCTTGATGATGTTGCTGCTGCTGCTGCTGCTGCTTCTGTTTCTGAGAATTAAATGGTTCGTACGATTGTTCGTTGAGCTGATGGCCCTGACTATGCTGGTTGGAAGCCTGTTGATGATGTGGCTCGTTGCCCAATCCCTGATGTTGCTGATAGTCAGCTCCCTCATTATATGCCTGGTGTCCAGATATCTGATGATGTTGCTGGTTGTTTCCCAAGCCTTGATGCTGCTGCTGTTGGAATAAACCCGATTTCCAGGAGTCATCCACATCCTGCTGAAGGCGATATTGCTGTTGTCCCTGGCCATGTTGCTGATGTTCCTGGCCTTGTTGCTGCTGTCCTTCGTAAAACTGTGAGCTATAGGGACCGTTGAAGGCCTGCTGACGGTGGCCGTGGCCCAAATCCGAGGCCGAATCCAAGTTGCTGCCGTGCGAGTGCGGCTCCTCCGATGGCAGATATTTGTGGGCGGGGCCGTTATAGCGATAGCCATTCTTGTTGTTATTGTGCAATTGCTGGGGGCCGACCACAACGGCCTGGATATAGGAAACACCCAAAAGGGCAAGGAGCAAGAGAATCTGCAGAAAATATTCAATTAATGTGGGGTTTCCGGAAAGGATTCACTGGACTCACTTTGACAGCTTTGAGCTTCATCTTTGCGGCTGATTTCGGGGCTTGAATGCTGAGTGAGCAATGACTAGCTACAGCCAGTGAAAATACTTTTTATACCCACCAACGGTCGACGCTGTACAAACTGTATGATCTTGAATAAAAATCTGTGCGTGAGCGGGGGCCGAATTTGAACCACAAAAAATAGATACAAAGTTGCCCCTGGGCCGGCGATAAATCGGCAAATTCTCACGTAACAACACATTTGACACTCTTGTGCCATCTACAACAGATTCTCACCCGCATATCTAGTGTTCCTATATAAAACTAAAACCAGAACCCAAATGCGGCGGATGTACTTACATTTAGTTGAGATTTAAAATGCAAACCAGAGGTGGCGGCACTTTTACTTTGACTTACACAATCCGAGGCTGAATCTTTGGATCTTTCAATCAGTTTGGATTTTTGGGGGTTGTGGGCGGCTGCCTTATAATTGTGCGCAAAAATATTAATTATATCACATGCACACTTATACCCCTCGGTATTTCAATGAAAGCGAAGCGGCAAGCAAAACAAATAGCCGAATAAATAAGAAAAGAAAAGGTAATGTAAGCATGGGCAGCACTTTTATAGTTTTCTATCGATTGAGATGGAAAAAAGCTAGGGTACTTCGACTTTTTTGATTACAGGCTATCGTAGTTCATTTATCGGTTATGATAAATGTTAAGTTGATGAATTTAAGATTTTTTTAGGTGTTTTACCACTGGAAAGGTAGTAGGTAAAATTCTTCTAAGCTTATTATGATTGGTAAACAACAAAATTGTAGTTTTTTCCTTTTACATTATTTTATTAATTCGTTTATTAGCGTAATTTGTTATCGCATTTCTAGTTGGCTACTCGATTAGCAGTTGGCCATACAATAAATAATCATACTTAATCTTAAATTCTAAAAAAAAAATAGCATATACAATCAACCATGCACGAAATTCTGGCATAAAATCAGCTACGAGGGTGGTGGAAATTGGGGTTTAACCGATAAATTGAGGGATAACTATTTGGGAGGTGGTCTCAGTGCCAAACTGGCTTCCAAATCCTTAACCTCCGATGCACGCAGTTGCTTCTTAATCACTTCTTGTCTGGGATGAGCACCACCCCCCCGTTTGCCGCGCTTTCCAGCCCCCGCCCCTGTTGCGCCCCCTGAAACGACCACGCCTCCCGAACCACCTCCGCCTCCTCCCGCCTGACCTCTGACCTTGTAGGTGTGCTGATAGCCATAGCCCTCTGGATTGTTATTGTATTTCGGACTGTAGCTGTCGTATTCGAGACTGGGATGTTTGTTGTTATTATTGTGGGCGTGGCCATGGGCGTGCTGGTGGCCGTGCTGGTGGCCGAGCGTGTGGGCGTGGGCGAGGCGCAGAGGCTGCTGCTCCAACCAGGGATCATGGTCGTCCAGCAGTGTTTCCTTCTTGAGCACATAATGATAGGGATATCCCTCTTCGTTCAGGATCAGCTTAGACTCATTTTCCACCTCGGTCTCCGGTTCGGCAAAGTATCCAGAGGAATAGCCCTTGTAATCCGGATGCAGTTCCCCCGATGAACCGGTTGCCTTGAGCTTGTGACGATACTCCTGCAGAGCGGCCTCTTTACTTTTGTAGGGCAAAGCATTGATGTCGTGGTAGATTTCCGAATTGAAGTACAACTTGTGGGGCTTACCCGAGTTGGTAAGCCTTTCCTGATCTTCCCGGGAATCGCGTTCACGCTCTCGCTCCCTTTCCCTTTCCCTCTCCCGTTCCCTTTCTCTTTCCACCCGATCTGGAGTGGGCACTACGTGAGATAAATCGAATTCTTCGATATTCTTCAGAGCCGCACCATGATCAAAGTGCTCGGCACTCTTTAGGGGCAGAGTGTAGGGTTTGGAGACGGTCTTCACAGTGGCCGTTTGCAGGGGTGCCCGGGTCTTGATCTTGTAGATGAACTCCACATTTGGACTCAGTTCGTCGACGGGTAAATCGGGTGCCTGATAGGCGGTTTCCGTTTCGGACTGAAAGTGCTGAATGGGTTTTGAATTCGTCAACGAGGAGGAGCTCCTTAATTTCCCCGCAATTTGGTGGGTGTGGTGCACCTGCTGCTGCTGCTGTGGGTGGTGTACCTGGTGTTGGTGGTGGTGCAGTTGTTGTTGTTTCGTTGGCGGTGGTGCCGTATACTTGGGCCTCACTGTACTGCTGCTGTACCGTTTCTCCTCCGAGTGCGAGGAGGATATGGATCCGGAATGGATACCAGATGAAAGCAGTGGCTGCGACTTGTAGTAGGTCTTGGTGATCGGGGGCGGCGGCGGTGGTGGCGGAGGCGCGGCCGCCTCTTGGGGCGTACTCAGGATCTTGCCCTCTGCCTCCAGTTCCTTCATGTACTTAATCACGCTCTTTTCAATCTGCTTCATTATCTCCGATTTCGGAATCTCGGTGGAGGCCGAGACACGAACCTTTTCCTCGGCCTCGGCTTCGAGATTTCTGTAGATTTGCGGTGGCTGATAGGGGGCGATATGGCTGTTGTAGTTGTTGTTATACTTGGGACGGTAGTGGCGTTCGATGTCTTGGTCTTGGCTCTGGACATGAGATTCCCCCTCGGTGGACGGTTGGTAGAGTTCATAGCTCCGTGTGACAGGTTCCTTTTCGTAGACGGGAGCAGGTGATAAATCAGGGGAGGATGGTGAAGACGAGGAGGAGGACCCCGATCCCAATCCCAATCCCGAGGAGGATGGCGATGAGGGTCCCGAGGCCAGGATCAATGCCTGCTGTTGAAGTTCCTTCTGCATTTGAAGTTCCAGAAGTTCCCTATCCCTGTCCCTCCTCTGCTCCTGATAACTCCTCTGGGTGGATGCTTGCAGATCCTTATGCGCCTGGATGTTGTTTTGATTAGGATTCTGGTTCTGACTCTGATTCTGAATCTGGCTTGGATTCTTGAGCGGAATCTGAAGCGCTGGCTGTTTGTAGGCCAGCTTGATGGCATTGGCCACGTACTCAGCTGCCGATTGGGAATCCTCTAGGTTGACGGCGGATCCGGATCCGGATGCTGTGGTCGTGGTGGTCAGAATGAGTTTCGGATGCGAATCCTGCTCTGGACGCACGAGATTCAGTTCCACCTGGCCATAGCTGTAATCTGGGGGATATACAATGAATGCATATTTGTTAAACTGCAAGCTGCAATCTCTGAATTGTTGCATACTCTTGGGCATAGTTTATTTATAATTTCTTTGTGTTCGAGTATAATTCAGCCTTATAACAGAAAGCCTTTTCTTTTGTAATTCCTTTACACTAGTCAATGTAAATGATAAAATGTAGTGATTGTCCCAAGGACAGATTCTACATTATATATAATACCCTTTCTGCCAGCCCAAGCAAAACAAATTGATCGTAAACATGATCCTAAGTTCTGTTATATGTTCAAATACGATCCCAAGTTATATTACCTTTGCTGGGCGCCTCCTTAGATCTGCTGTGTATCACCGATCCTCTCCTGGAGTAACCACGCTCATCCGACCCGCGACGAGTGGCTGCCAAAGCCAGCTGATCGGGAATCGTCTTTTCACCGACGTCCTCCAGAGAGGATGCACCTGCTCCTGGTCCTCCCGATCGGCGGCGACTGTTGCCCGATGTGCCCGAGGTCACTGAAACAGCACTGCAAAGTGTCGACATCTGTAAGGATAACAATTGATGGTTGAGCTGACAAATGGCCTGGTTCATATATCAATCTATATGTTGTATAAAGGATGGCGTGGCTTGTCAACTGATGCTAATTACTCGCCTTGACTCCACTTGGCCACTTCGTTTTGTGTCGATTTGTTTGTGCCCACCTCGCAATTAAACTAATTAAACTCAGTCAATTCACTTTCGCTTTCCAGGAGGCCAAGAGAGAGAGAAAAGGAGGAGGAGGAGGCGGCTGACAGCTCAATTTCAGTATGATTAAGTTGGCGTTCAGTTGGCCAAGTTCAATGGCCAGTTGGCCAGAGGAGAGGGCAATGAAACATTGGCATGAAATACTTGCAGCACGCAACTGCCGATCGCAAAGCGGATCTCGTTTAAGGGTAATGGCAATGAATCCTGAGAGACCATCTGTCAAAAACCTAATGCGAAGCTGGATTGTAACAGTTTTCGTTTCTTTTGCGGATAATATTCAACATGTTCTAAGTTGTACTACCTTCTAATATTTTTTTTCGAATTTTGTGTTTGCCATATATTCCGAGTTCAACTTATAATATTACCAATTTCCCAATGTACTGAGTTCTGACTAAAAACTTTTGCCTGGAGGCATTGTTATAAAATTTAATTTTTTTTGATTTGTGGGACAATGTTTTAGTCGTTTGAAATATTATGATCTATTGGAAAAGCAAGTTTGAGTTTCCGAAGGATTTCGTTTTATGTAAACCTTCTCTGGAGGATTTAAAAGTAGAACCTTAACCATGATATAGACAAATCGCCCTTACTATGTCCATATTATGAATCAAATTTTTGTTAAATTCTTGAAGCGTTTTGTGTTGATAATAATTCGCACAGTGAATTTTTGAATGTCCAAGAATATTCCGAGTTTAAGCTTTACTTTCGGGGGGCATGTATATGTAAGAAAATTAAAGAATCTTCGGAACAAGTTGTTATTCTCCTCTATAGTAATTTACACTCCTCTAAACTTACGACTGGTGATTGGTAAACAATAGTAAACAACTTAAGAATCCTTTGGAATGCTTTTCACTTTTAATAAATGTTCACTTCACTTTGGATCACTGGTCACCAAAAAAAAGTACTCCTCGTGGGTTCGCTGGGTCCAGATCCTTGGGCGCGAGCGGAATGACTACTTACGATGATCAGCAGGCAGAGGCACCACTGCCGCCGGCTGAGGATGCTCGATCCCATTTCAAGGGGGTGATTGCGATGGACCCTATATATCGTATGGATCGGGTGGGTCTCCTGATTATGATGGTGATGCAGACGGGACCGTGATCGTGGCGCTGACATCGTGGCGCGCCGGAGTCTCAGCTGGGATTGTTGGCGGCCAGCTGGCGAGGCGAGGCTTTTATAATGATGCGGACCGCTGCAGCGGAAAATTTATGCGAATGTGCGCGCCAAAGAAAAGCGAGAAAAGTGCAAGTGGAATAGAAAGAGA